TCTCTTACTTGAAGGAGATTTATAGTCTCAGGAAAATTCTGTTCTGATCCTGTACTGTCCTTTAAAAGAAAAGATTCAAACAAATGGCTTTTCATTTTTGTTTTGTGGTCTTTTTCTACTACAGCTTTATGTTTGCCTCTCAGTGTTGTCTGTACTTAACTGGAGTCAAAGGTTGGGGAAAAAAGACCAAGATGTTTTCTGGCACAGTCTCCTACCTTTTAGGGATAGATTACATCTAAAATCTAATTTGGTTCTTCCTCTAGCAAAAAAAAAAAAAGGTGATGGATATAATAATGTAGGTAGAAGGTGTTTTTCTTTGCTGGTACAGTGTTCTGTAGACACACAGCCAGAAAGTTTGTCATCTTTTTTTCTTCTCCTTTTCTCCCTACTTTGAGTTGTTTTATCCAAACTCTGAAGTTGTTTTATATTGACAAAGGTTTTAACTGATGCAAACTAAATTAATGCAAACAAATTCATACTGGTATTGCTAATTAGCAGTATGAATGCAAACTGATTGTGATTTGGTGGGTGTGGCACTGGGATTTGTTGCAGCTGCTCTGCAGGGTTTTCGCTCAGTTTGGGGCTGGGACCAGGGATACAGGACAGCCTTGGAGGCCCTAATTCCTGTTTCGCATGGGAAATGCCATGGCTGTTTACTTTGTTTTGTTTACCAGCCCTCAATAAGTGAAACTGAAAACAACAGAACCTTCTTGTCTACCACTCACTTCCTTTTCTCCTAGTAAAGATGAAGAAACTTCCCTCGTTTCTGCTGCTGTTTGACAAACTTGTTTACCTTTCATCTGGTTGTCTCTTACTCTCCAGCCTTTCCTATAACTCCATTATAAACATAAAAACCGTGGATCTACTGCTGCCTGACACTTAAGAATATTTCAAATGTTCAGAGGGGATTTCAGCATTTTTTTCCTCTTTTAAATGTCATTTTAATTTTTAATTAAATGAATGACAGATATTGTAAGCAGCCAGTTATTCAACTCTGTGCTGTGTAGACATGACTGATACAAGCAGGCAGGTACCTAAATTTGCCTTTCTGTGCACTTACTCAAACTTATCACAGAGCCACCAAGAGGTTTACTATCATGCAAGCTTCATGGTGTCATTCAGATATTTCAGAGGATTCCCTTAGAGGATCCTATTTGTACTTAAGGTGTTATTACTGCAGTTAAAATGTTTATCTGCTCAAAGATGAATAGCTCAGAGACAGAGTAACTTAAGAAAGCTGTTCAGCTACAGTGAACTGAGTTGTAGTGTTTGGGTTTCTTTTGTGAAATGCTTTAAGTATGTTAAGATTAAAGTTGTGCAGAGAAGGGTCTTGCAGCTCCATTTACTGTTAGTGTGGTTTTTGGTGATTCCTTCAGTGTATCCCAATGGTTGATGGAGGGATGCCTGAGATCCACGCTCTGGTGTGGATCACAATGGTCTGTTAGCAGCCTGTAGTATCTGGTGTCACTCGTGTAACTTGCTGTTGCTGGAATAAAGTGAGAAATGGTTTTTCATCCTGCCACAACTTTCACAATAGTTAAGATTTTATTTTCCTGTTGTGTATTGGGCTGAAACTGAACTTAAAGCTTGAAGAATGGATGCTGAGGTCTCCCAGTGCAGAGGCAGAGCAGTAGCACCTGGGAGGCTCAAGTTCAGGTGTGAACAGAGGCTGCAGGGAGGTTTTCTCACACTTTTGGGCAAGGACTCATCCTTTTGCATTTCATATTCTCTCTTCAAGGAGAAGGCAGGAAAGTCAAAGGCTGGTAGTACGTGTGCAGTGGGGAGTAAAAGTGGGCCAGGGAGGTTTGGGCAGTGCCTGTTGAGCTGAGCAGCCGCTCAGTGCCAGCCCTGATCCTGGGGGCGCTGGGCAGGTCAGGGAGCTGCTGCTGCTGCATCCCCATGGTGCTGTCCAAGTTCTACTCCTGCCACTTTGTCAGAGCCAGGGTTTTTCTGAGCTGGCTTGGAGCTCTTTAGTCTTGTTAAGTGGCAGAATAGCATCTATTACAAAAACAAACCCTCCTTTTCTTCCCGTTGTAATCAGTTAAATCGGCTGTGTAATTAAATGATGAGCTGGACTGTGGGTATGTCAGTGTATTCAAAGCCAGTCTGTGTAGAAGAACAAATCTCTTTATTTGAGCCAGTATAAAATGATACCAACATAAATAAAACATAGAGACCTGTTGTACTTTCTCTAGCCCTACAGAAGAAATAAACAAGCTTGCTCAGAAATTAAGAACTGCCCTCTTTTATAAAACTTCATCCAGAGTCTGTGTGAGTGTTGTCTTGGTGATGTTTTAAACTGGGAATAGACTTCACATAATTAACGCTGAATTTAAAAATATAATTATTGTTTGCTTCATTAATTTTGACTAATGCAGAGAGAAAAATGATTAATCGGAAGACTTACAGTAATTAGTGCAGTGTGGCAACTGACTACTTAAATATAATCTGTTAACGTGGGAAGCATAGCTCTTGTTATGAAATGTTCTACTTTGTGTCAGAATTGAAAGTATTAGAACCATTTTACTCTTAAATTGATACTGCAAATCTTAGTGCTGTGAAAACATTCATATTCTACCACTAATTATGATGTTCAAAACAGGAAATCTGAAACTATGTTGGAAATAATGTCAATGTTTCAGAGAATTTTTTATTGTTCTTTTGATTTATGTTACTGGTGTATCCTGATATATGGCATTGGAAACGCAAAGAAGAAATTTATTGCAGAGAACTGCTGTGTTCAGTCTTGCTGAAAGATGGTTTTGCTTGTGTGTTTAGTAGCCTGTCATGGTTAAAAGAAGTATAAGCAGTGTCAGTGTACAGAAGGGATATTTTAGGTCTCAAAAGCCTCTAGGAACTGCAGTCATAATTTACTTTTAAAGTACAAGATATTAAAAAAAAAAAAAAGGCATTTTCAGCTAAATTTGCTTATAAAATCATCACCAGTTCCTGAAAAGCCACTGGTGTAAAAGGATGCCTTGACTTATATTAGGTTGAGGGTAAAATTGCTGAAATATTTCTGCTTTTCATCTGTCAATACTGCTTTTGAGGTCAAGTGTCTGATCTTACCATATAATGCAGCAGATGATTTGCAGCATATTTTATTAAGACATAATTGTAAAGGCTAGGGTTAGTGCTGGGAAAGGTCATGGATTTCAGGGGGAGTGTGGGAGTAATACTCATGAGCTGTAGATGAAACAGATTATATGTTACAGTGGGATCTGTTCTAGCCACAGTAGGAGTTCTAAGAAATGTAATCTTGCGGTGGAAGACCATAAAATGATTTGCATGTAGTAGAAAACCTCCTGTGTTTTCCATGAAGGCTGTGTGTCTGTTGTTCCATGGCTGCTGGGCTCTAACATGTTCCACACACAAGGCTCACTGTGTCCCTGGAACAGCAGGATGCAGATCTGCTCCCATCACCCCTGGAACAGCTGCTCGGAGGGCTGCCATGGCTGAGCTCAGCAGTGTTTGCATCTCCTGAAGGTGAGTGACCACTTCTTTGTGGCCACAATCCTGCTCTTTTCATAACACTGAGGAAAGAGAAAAGCTGTGATGGAAAGGCCAAATACCTACTACACCCTTGGGAAGAGAAGAACAAAGGATGAGTTAAGCTTAGACATAAGACATGAGCTAGTTGTGGCACAAGTCAGACCAGTCTTTACATACTGGCAAGCCCCAAATTATACCCAGCCTGAGTTTTTACATTTAAGTCTATTAAAAGCTGCCATAAATGTTTCAGGTTGTGTTGGCAGAGGTCTGGGCAGAAGGGTGGGGTTGTGTGTTGGTTTTGTCCTCTTGTTCCTTGAAGAAAGGAGCATTTTTCAAAATTGGGTTTACTCTTCCCAGTGTAGCTTGTTGAAAATTGGCAAGTATGGTTTCTTCTGGCTTTGCAACTGATTATGTTAACCTTCAGCAAATTAATTATCTTCTGGCTCATGACTGTACACAACACTTTGTAAAATGGAATTACAGTAGAACCCTGCCAGATCTTGTCACTCCACTTTGTAACCCTTGTGGGAACTTTCATAAGGCTCAGTAGAGAGGTGATGACATGAGCATTCCAACTGCAGCTTCCAGCTGGTTAGGTGTAGGCATTGCTGATGGAGTGATCTAATTTTAAGGTGTAGCTATTTACATGAACCAAACAGAAAAACAGATTGCAAATTAGGACTAATTAAATGGCCAAGTTGTATTTTATTAGAGTATATTCGTTTTCTGTTTTATTCTGAGTTTTGTGCTTTCATTGCTTCATTAACTAAAAGTGTTAGTAAGGCTATGTTATTAAAAATAAAATGATAGGCATATTGCAGTAATTGATTAATATTGGTAGAGTTTCTGTAAGCCCTTTAATCCATTGTTGCTCAAAACCAAGATATTTAGTTTAAATTCTATGCAATACACAGACTCCTAAATTCACATTTCATGTTTTGACATAGGCTTCCTCTGTGGAATATCACTTAGCAGGGCTGCCTTGATTTTCCTCAAAGCTCTTGCTTTGAGTCCTTTGGGGATCACTTCAAAATTGATTTGAGAGGGTTTTTAGTAGCAGTTAATTCTTCTAATTTCCAAAGTGACCATTTTCCATTGGTGAATGTGCAGTGTCTCATAGGGGATTTTGCAAAACTGCAAGAGGTCTACCTGTGACAAGTGAAACTTGTTTTTTTATTAAGATGATAGTTCAGTCAAATTTCTTCAGGGAAGTTAAATCTTTACTTTCATATTTTTCACTCATTGCTCCTCATGCTGTAAAACTGCAATAGTGTCTACTCTGAATGCTGATTATTAAGAGGAAGAGGGCGCATGTGTTTTGCTGCTGCAATGGTATTTTTTTTTTAGTGCAGAGCACCATGCAATATATTGATTTTACGAAGAATTTTACTCTTTTAGATTTTATTTTCTTTGGAATAGAGAGAAATTTCAGTTAAGCCAAAATCTTACCCTTTTTCTGTATTTTTCTACTTGAAAAATACCTACAAAACCAGACATGCTAAACTTAAGAGACAGAAGTATCACTATAGCTATCTCTAGTATATCTATACTATATATATGTGTGTGTGTGTCAGTAATATGGTTTTTTGGTGCCTGAGATTGGTGTGTGGTAGAAGAGCAGCAGTGATATTAAAAAGCAAGTTGTTTTCAAGTGGTGAAGGGGTGAGAGAGTTAACCTGGGACAAAAGCTTGTGTTCTTTGTGTGAGTTCTTTTTATCCTGACCACAAAAATGCTTACAGATAAGGAAACAGAAAGTAGCTGGTTTCAGTTCAGTAGTTCTGTTATGTGTGAAGTAGAAGATTATTTCTGTGTAGCAAGAGGATTGCTGTTGTGTGTGTCAGCAGTAAGAAAATGCTGCTTTTGAGGGAAATGTGCCTGGTAGTGGACATGGCACTGGCTTAGTCTAAACTCATAGTGATTCCAGAGACTAAACTATTGACACCTGGGCTTGGGTGGGATCCATGAGCAGTAATCAGTGCTAAAGACAAAGGAGCTGCTGCTCATTTCCAGGCTCTGCCAGACGATATGGGGAGGAAGGTTAAAACAATTGAAGGAACTGTTCTTTTTTCAGTCTCTGGGGAAAAAAGAATAGTCCAACACACTTGATCAGATCTCCTGTTCCTGGCATTTTAGCACTTCTCTGAGTGTTAAAACCACAAGAAAACCACAAAAGGGTTGAGGCTGGAAGAGACCTATGTGGTCCAACCCTGTGCTCAAGCAGGGCTGTGCAGAGCTGGTTGCCCAGGACCACATCCAGACAGCTTAGGAACATCTCCAAGGATGGAGAGAGATTCCACAGCTCCCCTGGGTAACCTGTGCCAGTGCCACTGGTCGTCTTTCAAGTGCCTACAGAAAGTGTCTGGTAGTGTGTGTGCCCTGACTTGCTTAGGTTAGGATATGGAATTGGCTGGTTCCTGGCTGCAGGCATCTCACAGCAGCAGAATAGAGGCTGTGTGAGGACTAAAGTCTGGGCAGGAGAATGGCTTCGTGTGTTTGTGATGAGATATTTGGTGTGGTGATCTGGTTTTCAGGTTTTACTCCTGAATTTCTGTACATTTATCAACAAAAATGTTGTTGTAACTCCTGCTATCCTAGGTATTTCAAGTCCCCAAGATATCTTGAACAGTAAAGGAGTTTTGATCAGAAAATATGTAAAATATCCATCCTTTAAGTAGGGATACCTGTTGCAGAAATCTGAACTGTGTTTTTAGAGTGACCTAAATTTGTGGTTTCTTATGTAATAAGCCAGAAAGAGGGTACTTCAAGCCCCATTTCAAGTAAGTCCTTTCAGTAAGATGCTTTTCCTGCAGCACTTGGAAAACACCAGTAAGAATTTTTGCCCGAGAGTATAACAGTGATGTGTTACAGGAGCCCTGGCCTCTGAGGCTGTTTGTTCAAATTCTTTTGTTTATTATGAGCTGGAATGCAGGGCTGTGGGCTGGGCTGGAGAACACCAGCGTGGTGCCTTCGTGACACTTGGCATTAACAAATGGCATCTTTGTTCCAGCCTCTGCAGCTCCTGGAGCTGTAGAGGGGCTGTGTCTGGAAAAAGGAGCACGTGTCAAGTGGCTCAGTTGTGTGGAACAAATGCAGCAAGTGGAGGAGGAGAACTTTTCCCTTGGTCATTTTTGAGAAACACTGGTTTAGAATATGGTCTAGAAGCAAACAGATTTACTTCATGAAGACTAAAACAGAGCTCTACAAGGACTTGGAAGAAAATGAAAATGGCAGTCTAAAGACTGGTAAAGTGTTGTGTAATATTTTATGTACTGGTCTTTAATTGTTTATATTGTGCTGTTTTACTTCTCTCTCATTTCAAATTAGTGATAACTGAATTTTAAATACTTAATAATATTTAAGGAATGTTTAATGGTGGAAGAAATCTAGCTCAATTAACTTCTGGAAAAAAGTATTGCTATGCAAAAGGGATTGTTTTTCTAACTAACTAGTTCATTTTATGTTAAAAGTTGTTCTCTGTGTTAGAAGTTCTCTCTGCATGAAGAGAAAGTATAATAAATAATGCTTAATCCTTTTTGTTCAGAGCAGGTTTAGTACTGATGTGCAGGTATTTACCAAGATTCTTCCTTTTGAACATTGTGTACCCAAAACAAAATACTATTAAGTGTACGTCATGGCTTTTATTTTGTTGTTGATGGGAATGAACTGGAAGGAAAATAAACAGCCTGAGTATTTAAGGGACTTGCTGCTATGACCAGAGACTTTGTTTATTGCTCTGATATGTCCTTTGAATGTGTAGATGTGTAGCAGCTGGTGGTAGTGCCTGCAGACAGGAATTTGTGCCAGTGCAGCTCTTTGAGCAGTGGGATGTGTAATGTGCAAGCAAGCAAGGATTTTAGTAAAGTCATGGGAAACAAATTAACATTTTCAATTCTTTTGGGGTTTTCAGAGTGCTCTGCTGTTGGAGAGACGATGATGGTGGGTTAAAGGACAAAAAAGGAAGAACTCACTTTTCAGAATTTGGGATAAAGTTACACTTTATGCTCTTGGTATATTGTGTCTCAGCCCCATGGAAAGAGACATTGTGAGGCTTGTGAGGGTGCTGGTCCACAGTGGGTGAGCCTGAGCCAGCGTGTGTCCAGGTGGCCAGGAAGGCCAATGGCATCCTGGCCTGTACCAGAAATGGTGTGGCCAGCAGGAGCAGGGCTGTGGTTGTCCCCCTGTTCTCAACACTGATGAGGCCACACCTCGAATTCTGGGATCAGTTTTTGGCCCCCTTGTGACAAGAAGGACATTGAGGTGCTGGAGCGTGTCCAGAAAAGGGAATGGAGCTGTGAGAGGGTCTGGAGCACAGGTCCTATGGAGAGTGACTGAGGGAGCTGGGGGTGTTTATCCTGGAGAAAAGGAGGCTCAAGGGGGAAACTTCTGTCTCTCTACAGCTCCCTGACAGGAGGGTGTAGCCAGGCCGGGGCTGGGCTCTTCTCGAAGGTAACAAATGACAGAATGAGATGAAACGACTTCAAGGTGCATTGGAGTGGTTTAGATTGGGTATTAGGAAAAAATTAATTTCCCAAAAGCACTGGAAATAGGCTGCCTAGGGAAGTGGTGGAGTCACCATCCCTTGAGGTATTTAAAAGCGCCTGGGGGTATGGTTTAGTGGTGGGCTTGACAGTGATGGGTTAATGGTTGTACTCAGTGATCTTAAAAGTCTTCCAACCTAAACAAATCTGTGATTCTTCTTCAATTTATGGCACATCTGTAAGAGGCAGTTTATTATACTGCTGCTGATGCATGAGCACTGCAATGTATCTTGTACCTACTAATCCTTCCGTGTAAGGAACTCACTGAGGCTCTCAGTGGCACTCATTTCATACAACCTTCATGAGGCAGCTACTCCATGGTTGTTACCTTTGACAGGTGAGGTACAGCCTAGTCATTTTTTAGGCTCTTTCAGAGAGAACAGCACTAGTGAGTTTGAGTAACCCCAAAGACCATTCCTATAAGTTGTATGACTACTTTTGTAGGGACTAGAGATGCGAGCTCAGTGGATTGCACATGGAGATCACTTTAAAAAAGGCTGTGCCTTACTGGTTTGCAGTAGTGTAGCTGAACAGGATTAGAAGCCATGCAGGATTAGACAAACAAAATACAGGTACTTAGCAAACCTTGTAGAGCAGCAGCTTTTCTTTTTGTGGGAAAGACCAATGTTTTGCTGTCTTCTGGCCATACCTCCCTCACAAGCAGCTCAGTTCTACCAGGCTGTGATGAAAGCCAGGTGTAACTATGGGCTCTGTGTTAGTCACCCCAAGCAGGAGCAGCTGAGCTGCTGCCAGGCTGTCACAGGCTGTTCAGCTCCTTTTTTACTGCTGGAAACATAAGGGATAGTGCTGCCAGTTCCCTCTCCTTTATTGTGGAAAACTGAGCTACTGCAGGGACTGCAAGAGGGATCCTCAGTGTTTAGCTCAGTGATTTAAATAAGTACTAAATTACATTATTGTAAATTCTTTTTCCCCCTACTTCTCTCTACCCCCACCTTAAAATATATGTTTAGGTGGATTATAGGGGGTTCTTGGATCAAGATTCTCTGGTATCTGTAGGTGACTACATCTACAGCTACTCTTCCTCCATGTGGAACAGAAGAGAGAAGATGGCATAAAAGCAAGAGCAAGGCAGGATTTTTTTTTTTAGTTTCATTGGATCATCAAACCATAGCTCCATTTCTTGCAACAATCTCTATCCTTGAGAAGTTTTAGTGAAATTCAGAATCTAATTTTTACATCTGTTTGCAGGCCACAACCTTATTTTTTCTTTGCTAGTGTTTATTTTTACTTGGATCTGTTGTTTCGCTGTTAAATGTCACTTATGGTAGTTAGTCTCTTCCACATAGTTTAGCATTCATTAATAGAACATTCTGTTATATATTTTTAGTTTGCATTATGTGTATTACTCCTGAGGAGATTCAGGACACTTTGAAATTTTCACAGTGAGAACAGCCATTGGAATAATATTCCAATAATAATTGGAATAATAAGGGCAGTGGTGGATTCCCCAAGACTGGACACTAAGATTCAGCTGAACAGGGTGCTGGACTGTCTTGTCTAGACTGTGCTTTTGCCAAGAAAGCTTGGACTAGATGTCCTTGAGGTCCCTTCCAACCTGTCATTCTGTGATTGAGGCTGAGCAGGATTTTAGCCATGCTGCTTGTGCCTTGTAAGCCTGACTGGTTTTGGGGGGACATGAAAGTGCTGTTTAACATGCCATCATTGACAGAATTTATCATCAGGTCATTGCTAGTATTTTTTAGTTGAAATCAGCTCCCTGTACTACTTAATTGACTTTATCTTGTCGATCTCATTTGAGATGGCGTTGTTTCCTGTATAATATGTAATGCTAACTTTTAATTAGTAAATTTAATCACACTCGTATCATATCTTTAACTGCTTTCACTGAGATAACACTGAACAAAACTGATAAGACTTTAGAATTCCAGTTATTTGTTTTCCATTTCATAGTGATGTATTTTTGTGCTGAAGAATTTTTCTTATTCCCATATTTAGCTTTTACATTATCAGTAATCAGTGTGTAATTTCTAAGTTGGATATATTGAAATATTTCCTCTTATAAGAAAAGTTATGTTTAATGCTTATCTCCCAAAATAAAACCTCTTGCCCCCATCTCAAGCTGTTTTCTGGGTTTTCAGTATTGACAGATTAATGAAACATTGAACTATCTCAGTGCAGCTGGAAGGTTAAGATGATTCTGGCAGAAAGCAAAGAGGATTACTTTAAAAGCAATGAATATGATAATTTACACACTGAATGTAATTGAATTGTCATGAGACACAGAACATGCCAAACTTTGATTCACACATTGCATATGCAGAGGAAGGGATGGTAAGCCATGGCCACGTTTTCAGCATAAATCAGGAAGTTGCTTTCTGGTGCAAATACAGTTTGGCATTCTTTTAAGCAAAGGTTTGAACTTTTTTCAGCTTACATTGTTACTCTGTGTTTTTGAAGATCTATGTCCTTTTGAGCACATTTTAAAATAAAAATGGAAACAATTTTTAGTTCTGTTTAAACAATGTATCAACTACATACTGTGTGAATGTACTGACCACTGTGTATTACAATATTGTCTGCTTATATTTAGCCACACTCTTTCTCGAATTAAATCTAATCTCTTCTACTTGGAAATTAGTGATAGGACTTTTTACCTATTTCTTGAAGCTCAGCAGCAGGTGTACTTTACACAAGGGAGCTTTTCCCTACAGCTGTGCATTGGAGAAGTGGATATTAGGGTCAAGCAGTTCTTGAAGTTGCTGAAGGAATGTCAGGTTTCTAAGGAGGTTAAAAGTTTGCTTTTTAAAAACCTATAATTGGTCTTCTGTAAAGACTTGCTGTAAGCACAGATCTGTCTTACAGAAGGAAACACAATTTAATTTTGGTTACAATTCCTTTATCTTCTCACTTTGAAAGTAAAACCAGGGTTCATCCACTGCTTTTTGTCAGTGTTGGTGTGGTAGCTTTAGTGGACATTGTCAGTTCAGCAGACACGCTGTGGCAGCCAGTAAAGATTAGGAACCACATTGTTGTAATTGTGCAGGGGTGCCCTGGCAGTGCTGTGAAGTTGTGCCTGTGCCCTTGGGTGTGACAAGGCTGAGATGTGTCTTGCTCAGAGCTCACATGGGCAGCCAGGCTAACAGAGCCCTGCAATGGCTCTAAAGCTGTGCCAGAGAAAAGGAAACCTGAGACCCAACTGCTCTGTGTCTTGAGTCCTCTTTTGGCTTAGGAATAAAGGTGGATCCAGCACCTGAAGGCACAGGAGGAGCATTGCCCTGCTTGGACACACCAGAGTCTGAGCAATATGAAATGATTCTACTCACGCCTCATCTTACAAGAAGGAAACAATTTGTCAGTGTTGCAGCTTAGAGATGTGAGGCTTCCAAATACAGCAGATTGGATTATTTATATTTTTTTTCTCCCTCAAATAACTGTGTAAATATATGTGTGCTGGTTCTGCTGCACACTGGAAAGAATGACAGAGCTCTATGTATTCTTAATAAACAGGAGTAATATGATTAGCAAATGATGGTAACAAAGGGGGGCAGGTGAGGGTAACCAAGTGTGTCTTCTGGGGATCATAAGTGAAGGCTTTGAAGAAGCAGCCAGACTTTCCCTTAGGGGAAGCTTGGGACAAGCAGTGCTGTTGTCTGAATGCTGCTGCTTGTGTCTGTGCTGGGTCATTCTGAGGTTCTCTTAGGGTTCCCCTGAAGAAAGGTGGAGTGAAAACAAGCAGAGAACATGTTAAATCTCTAACAGATGGCTTAGAGGGCCACCTTGGCACAACTTCTTGTCTAAATGTTGAAAAATATGTAGGTAACCTTTATTAAAGAAACACTAAGTTTGAACGAATAATTGAGTTAATGTCATATGATAGAAAACTGTAATATCTGATCTGTTTTTCTATTTCATGGCCCAGATGGTTGGTATGTACAATTCCTGAAGTTCATTATGTTGCCATGAACTAGATAGTGAAAAAACCCCACATGCCTGAAGTTATTTTTATAACAGTGCTAGATTGAAATATATTTTAAACCTTTTTCAAGCCTTTCTTTATCTGAAGTTCATTGCTTTTTAATAATCAAAATAATTCAACTCTTGAATCTTTCACAAAATTGTTAATTAAAGCTGATTTACTTCATTGATTTGATATAATTATATTTGGGATATTGAAGTATGTTCTGTTGTTGGATATTCCAGATAGCAACTTTTCCTTTCTTGGTGCTCTCTGTTCCTGTCCATGTCCTAGAGATGATTTCTGCTCAGGGAACAGGACTGAGCAAAACTTGAACTCCACTCACGTAGTAAATGCTGCATCTGCAGTGTCCTCATGTCCAATGCTTACTCACACACTGTTTTTTTTTTCTTGCTGTCAACCTTCCTGTTGTCATATCCTTACACTTATTCCAGCTCTGGGTTACCCGAGTTGCAGTTCTGACACTGTGAACAACATCCTTCCCTGTTTTCTGAGAAATAAGTTTGGGCAATTTCTAAGAAGCCATGCAGTATTTCTTCAATATTCCAATATCTCTTCAAATCCTGTAAATGCCTCACAATTCTGTTTTAAGCCAGTAGTGAATGTTTCAGCTTTCTTTGACTACTAGAATGTTTGTGGAATAGCAAATTAGTGGTCTTTAGTACTTTCTTCAGTCTTTCAGTTAGAGGGTTGTGCAGAATTAATTTTTTACTGTATTTAATATCTACATTGGTGGAAAATCAGAAATATTCTAAACCCAGCTATTAAGATACTGTGCAGTAACTGTACTTTGCTTTGAGCAGTATTCAAGACATACACTAAGGTCATATTTTTCTTTGACACAATAGTTTTGGCATTTCTCCATTCAAGTAGGCTCCCTGAAGTTGATTTCCCAACTATTTGGCTGCAATTCTTTTTTCACAAGGGAGAAAATCTGAACAGCATTATTTTAATTCCTCTACAGGTGCAGATGCTGAGCAGGATGCTGCTATCAAACTTGCCCAGGAACGAGCAGAGATAGTTGCCAAGTATGACAGAGTAAGTGAACTTTTTAGTAATTTAAAAGACATTTTATAATGAATCTTAGTAATATGTCTGTTTAAAAACTGAATCATGATTCCAGCTACCTGTTGTTTAAAATACTCTGTTGAGTACTAATCTCATGTTTAATGATACACTGGCCTCTGGGTGAATTAAACTCTCCCTCCACAGGGGTAATTCTGGATAATGACTCAATCAACTCATTTTTCAGGTGCATAGCAAGTTACTTTGGGACTATTTCAGGGAGTGTATTGAAGTAGAAGTAGAAGTGGGATGTTTAAGGATGCTCAGTGTAACTGTGAGATCAGAAGGACTTTCATTTTACTTTTTATTTATTCAATCTTTGGTTATGGTAGTACAAACACTGAAATCATAGCAGAAAAAGTAAAAGATGACTGACCTGTATTGTTTCTGATATTGTTGTGGGAAACGAAAGAAATGCCCTGGTCATGCCATGTTTGTTCTTGGACCCCTTGTCAGGAAAAGCCTGGCACAGAGTATGCCTAGAATGCTTATACAGTAGTCAGATATTTTTGTAGCACTTAGGAACTTTTTAAGTGTCATTGGAGTATAGAGCAATAGCCTTGTTTGTAGAGTTCATGAAATATTTTATGTGCCAGACTTACTGGTGGTTTGCATGGTGTGCAGTAAACGAGTGGCTCACCTTAGAATAAGGAAAACCTGCTTGTGTGTGGCAGGCTGTCACCAGGTGCTCTGCAAAGCTGTTCAGTCACTGCCATCCTGAGCTGGGCAGGGCAGAGAAAATACAACAAAAGGCTCAGGAGTTGGGATAAAGGCAGGGAGGGATTCTTCACCAATGCCTGTTGTAGGTAAAGCAGATGTGAGTTGAGGTAATCTGTTTAATTTATTACCAATCAAAGCAGAGTAGGACAATAAAAAAATCAAAACTAGATCTAAAACATTTTTTCCCCAGCCGTCCCTTCTTCCTGGACTTAGCTTTGCTCCCTGTTTTCTCTACCTCCCTCTTCCACCTGAGCAGAGCAGGAGGATGGGGAATGGGGTTATGGGCAGTTCATCCCATGTTGTCTGTGTGACTCTTTCCTGCTTGGGGGTTTGACTTCTTCAACTCTTCCCTTTTTCCATTGTGGAGTCCCTCCCACAGGCTGAAGTTCTCCTCTTCCCATGGGCTGCTCCAGCATTGGTGCCTGCATCAGGGTCAGTCCTTCAGGCACAGGTGCTCCAGCATGGGTCCCCCATGGGGTCACAAGTCCTGCCACCAAACCTGCTCCAGTGTGGCCTGGGCCAGGGCCAGTGGCAGGTCATTACTGGAGCTGGCTGCCTTTGTCTCTGTTGGATGTGGGGGAAGCTTCCAGCAGCTTCTCAGAGAAACCACCCCTGGAGCCCCCTGCTACTAAAACCAGGCCACACAAACCCCACAGACTTCATGTTCTGAGTGCTGGCATGATTTCATAGCCAGTAATCTGTGCATAGCCCATACCAGAAGTAAATAGAGTTGAAATGTAGTTAAACTTCTGCAAGCCTTTTGCAAGCCTGGCATTTGGAGAGGAAGAATGGGACATGAATGAATGTGTAATTGAGGGGTAACTCAGTGCTGCATTGTTTGACAGCTGCTGCAAGTCAGCATGGACATTAACTCAGGACTGTCTGCAGTGTATGCTCTTGCAGGTGATTGTGCAGGAAAGACGGACTTGGGAAATGAAACGAGTAGAGGGCACTCTGGGGACCTTGATGGATTATTGTGGAGTTTAACAACAGGTGTGGGATTACTGTGACTCTGGTTGAAATGTATTTTGTGTACAGCAGTGACCAAAAGAGATTTCCTGTGATGAAAATACTGTTGGTAAGGGCTGGGATAGGTGTTCTGCTCTCCTTTTTCTTGGCTACTTAGTTTAGGACTGGTGTTCTCCTCCCCCTCCTCTAACCTCCTGCCACCATGTCCCAAAGTGTCCCAAAGGTTATGCTTTCAATGCTTGAATGCTCTCTTATGTGTCTATATTTATTGAGTCGTAAAATATAATTTGACTTTTTATATTTTCCTTTCCCCTTAGGGACGAGAGGGTGCTCAGATTGAACCGTGGGAAGATGCTGACTACCGTCTTTACAAAGTCACAGATAGATTTGGGTTTTTACAGTAAGTAGCAAGATTGTAAGGAAAATTAGATTAAAAGTTTGCTACTATTAATATTCAGGCTCTTTATTGTATTACCTATTTGGTGAAAGTATTATTATGCCTTTAATAGATATTTTGGAAACTGCTGTGTAAGTGTTACTGCTGGCTAATCTTTCACTGTGCTTTTCAATTCGGTTTCTGTCTGGGTTTTTATTTCTGTAATTTGATCTTGCATAGAGAGTGAAATGTTTTAAAATATTTTATTGGGAAATGAAAATTAATAGTCTACAAAAAACATATTTCAAGCTGAATTGCAGATAAATTTTTGTTGTGAATAACTTAGTTAGATGTAAACAATCTTGAAGTTCTTCGAAAAATTTATAAAAATTTTTCTAAAATGTTTAATTTTAAAAAGATCTGAACACATTAAGGTTACTCAATGGTTGTGTATGAGCAACAGTGTATCTCAGTCCATCAAAGATTAGTATCTTTTGGCTTCATATATTTTTTAACCTTACTGAAATCTTTGCTGTTTTGGGACCTAATCAACTTTAAGTCAGAAAATGCCAGAGTCCAGATGTAGTTCCCCTACAGGTGCCTCCTTTGTAACATAATCTGTTTCTTTTTGGCAAATAGAAGATTAGAGTATTAAATTGTATTAGGACTTTTGTGGTTGGCAGATGTAAATATCCAGCTTGCCAAAACTGAACACAAGCTGACTTGCTACTTTTGATGATATGTGGACTCTCTGAGGTTCTTGGTGTTTGGCATTTTTGTTTTAATACATGAAATGCAGTTTAAATCCAGAAAAATCAGTGATAATTGGAAAACTTAGTAATACCAATGTAATTCATAGTATCGTGAAGGGAGATGTGTATGTTCTGTTTTTGGGGGGACTTTTTCTCTTTTTTCCCTTCCTTTTTGCAATGTTTTTACAAGCTGTTAGTTAAGTCACCTTTACCTGCAGATTGCTTGTGCTGCATTGGGGTGAGTTAATTTGATGTGTGACATTCAAAGAGATCTGTTGTACACAAAGAGGTTCTTGTGTTGGTAAACCCCAGCTGCAGCACCACGTGCCTGCAGTTGTAGCATTCCTAATGGAGAATGGATGTCAGAATTATTTTATTTCTGGGGCTGAAGTAATGGAAGCCACTGCAGGGTTCACCTCTGACTTTGATATCCTTGTGAACTCTTGAACTTTTCCTGTTACTTGTATTGTGATACTTTCATTTTTATGTGTTAGAGTAGAAGATTGTTGCTCAAGTCCTCTCCCCTTTCTGCTGCTGTTCAGTCATAACCCCAGACCTCCTGCCCAGGAACATCTTTACTCACCAATGCAGAATTAATTCTCTATACAGTCTACTTCAAGGGATGAAAGCTGAAAGATTTAAATTAGATAAAGACTGCACAGGATAACAGTGTGTGCAGATAATCTCTTACTAATTGTGCCTATTTGTAGCTTATCCATGTCTTGGTACAGGGCAGCTTTCACCTGGGAGTGCTCTCAAGGCTGCTTTATGATTGTTTAAGACAAATTCAATGTCTTGTAAATGATGTTTTTATTTTCCTGAGAAGCAAAATCTCTCCTAATAGAAGAAATAGAATTAAGATAAACGTATCAACTGTCTTGTCCTGAAATGACAATTTATATTGCACTATAGATTTTAAAGTGTGGTCTGGGTCATGTGTGCTGTCATACTGAGCCTGCTGTGTCTGAAACTCCTGTTCCATGAGAGTTTGAAATGCAGCAGGATGTACCAAAAACCTCAAAAGTTTATCCTGAGAGCCTCTCGAGTGTTTACAGTGTAAATTAGCAAACAGGCTGATGCACATTGAAGACAAAATCTAAGGGCAGTACCAAGCCTAAAGCGTTTGGTAGTTAAGGTCTACAGGGATTTGTAATCTTGTTTATATTGACATCTTAAAATACTAAGAGGTGTCTTTTGTATCAGAAAGGTGCTAGGTGTGAGCAACCTGATACAAAGTTAGGGTTTGTTTTCTCAAGTACAATAGGCTTTGATTACTATCAGTAGTTTTTCTCCTTGTCTGTGTCCTGTTTGCAGCTTTCCTGGGCTCTGTGAAGGGGCATTCAAAGTTCAGCTGATTGCTGATAGAGCAGAAAAGATAATTTTGAGGGAATGCAGCACTCAGGCTGCATGTGTCACTTGCCACTGGGTAAAAAATGGGAGAACGTCAAGGCTAGAGACATTTCGAGAATAGTTTTGGTCTAGATCTGCAATTCTTCTGGTGTCCCAGGGTCCTTCTTTGTGTGTTAAACTGGGAATTTGTAAACTTGAGGGCCCTGAAGACTTAACACTTCTATAGTCTTCCTGCCATACCTGTAGAAGTGGGCTCAGGTTTTCCTCAGAGAGGACTGAGAGGTAAAGTGCTTTTTTATTAAACAGTAGAGAAATTGGATTGTGATTGGAAACAGATGTAGGAATTCCCTTCAAGTAAAATATGTCACTTTAACCTATTTATAAGACCCTCAGTTGATGTATTTGCCATCTTTGGTCAATTTGAAGTAATGTAGTATTTATTGTTTACAAGAGTTAGGTCCATCTTTACCCAATATTGTCTTAAATTTTCGGTAGCTGCTGCCTTCAGAACACAATTCAATTTGTTTGCTGCAGTACTTTATTTTGCAGTTCTGCAAATGAATGTGAATGTTCTAGTTAACTTTGGATATTAAAAGGAAAGTGGTGTGGACAGGTTATTAATATAGCTATTTAAAACAAGCACAAAAAAAGCTGAGTTAATACTTAAATGAATTTAGGGAACAAGAAAATGTGTTCAGTGAGAAGTACCAGAGCATTATAATAATGAGACTTATTTGAAATGAGTAAAAGGAAGTTTTAGAGGGAAGTTGGATGTGGGAAGAAGGCTTCCAGCAAAGCTAAGCTGTGAAATAACCTGTGGGGGGTCCAAGGGGACTGTCTCTTGAGGTGTTTAACACCAGAATGCACAAAACAAAACGCAGCTAGGAGTTTGTTCAGTGGCACTGACTAAATTGTAGCAGTAATGAGCTGCTCTACTGGAAACATAAATTGTACAGTAGAGGCATGCAGGAACCAGGAAGACTGAAACTCTCATTATTAGCAAAATTGTAGAAAATTTGGCCTTTGTCAGCTACTGTTGTTTCAAGGGTGTAAGGAAGTGGTGGGTTGTGGTTTATTTAAGCCATGTAGAGTTCCAGGCAAACCAGACCAAACTTTGAGAATTTTTTTCATAATTTACTGCCAGATAACATGACATTCTGACTGCTGATTTATATGCTGGGTAGGAACACTCCAAACCATAACACTTCACAGACACCTAGAGGAAACACCTGTCCCCTCTCTGCCTCCAGGACAAACTTCCCTTGGTTTTTGTTGTGGGTTAGCCTTGGATCACCCCTGTTCCCTTGGTGAGGTGACAGGCAGTGCAGGAGCTGCTGCACATGATGACTTCTTTCTGCTGCTCCTGGTTTCTTCCTTATTTTCTCCTTCTGCTCCTTGTGTCCCCACCTGACATGGTGTTGCTCCCACTGGGAATACATCTCCAGCCATGTTCTCAGCATCCCCTTCCATGTGTCTCTTCTGGCTCTCCAATTAGTATTGTTCCTCTTAATTAATACAGACTTGTTTATACCGAGTGCTGTTGATCTTCCTCAGTATAGTATTCTGATATACACAGAATAGTATATTGAATTAATACATCAATTAGATAAATTGATAAAAATCAATTAGATAAATAGATAAAAAACCATCGAATAGCCTATTAAAAAACCAACTCTTTTGTAATGTTTCTTTCAGAGAATCCCATATCGGGGAGCTTGTCTTAGTATTGACAGAGAAGACCAGTATATTCTATACAATTTTATACAATTTTAGGTTTTACCAACCTAAAAATGTTTAAAGAAAAAAAAAAAGGCAGCAATATCCCTTCCCAGAAAAACCTCAGGCATGCTCCTTATTCAATGCAATTTGTTTTCCAGTAAAAGTCCTGCTGCTGATTTCATGATAATGCAGGAATGCTGAGCAATCAGGCTGATGTGAAAAGTGCCATTCAATTTTAAAACGAACATTTTTTTCCTCTGAAGTCTAGCACTAGTGTCTGTATACACAGTCTGCCAGTGTTTTGAATAGATTGGATATTCTTTTCTAGAAAGTGCAGGAGATGGAGATGCAGGAGCTGTGCCTGCAGCTGATGGAAGTCCAGCAGCCCATCTCTGGGGACTCCATAGGGCTCAGATAAGGCTTAGCCCCTAATAGATGACTTCTGCAATCAAGTATTTTAGGAATGGAAGAAATGCCTAAGATCTCTTCACAGATAGTCATAACAAAAACTGTTTGAGCTGTTTTTGGAAATGGAAAACATTTTTTCATAAAAAATAAAGGGCTTGTTTGCTCAGTTTTTCTTTTTTTCCTTTTTTCCCCCCCTCTCTTGTTGGATATGTTGTGTCTTTTTGGTCAGCACTGTGTGAATGTTGACCCTGCACTCTACAAAAAAGCAATTCCTCTCTGTCCTGTCTTGGAGCCTGGCTAAATTTTAAATTAAATGTCCTCATTGTTTTTGGTGTGGACTGTTCTGTCATCAGCTCTTTTCTTTACCTTGTAGATAACTTCTCTTTGCTTTTTTTTCTATCAGCAGTCATTGATAAGGGAATAACTTCAGGGTAAAAAAAGCCCTGAAGGAGTGTCTGAGTGTCTTGAAGCTCATAGCAGGCATTCCAGTAATGCCTCAGGATCTGGGATTCCCCCTTCCCCCTCCTTGAATTATTTAGTTGATTTGGTGCTGCTTTGGAATGGTTAAGAAAGCTACTAAAATAAATACCTTATTCCTTGGGTGGTGACAAGTTCCCTACTACAACTAGGAATGTTTTAAAAGCTATTTTATTTCTTTAAACTGACAGTTTATGTAATGTCTGTATTGATTTGTCTATTTAGAAGTGACAGTTTTGAGTTATTTTTGTAGCTAAAAGTTATTAAAGATCTTAAAAGAGTAAAAGCAAGCAAGAAATTCAAATGACAGTATTTTTA